CAAGACGGGACTGTATCGTTTAATCCGCGGATCACCGGGTTCGAGAACTTTCTTTATTAAATTTTTCCTCATTTGCTTGCGCTCGGACATCTTGCAAATCCCACGCGCATTATTAAATCTCGTTTCGAAGTTGATCGATGACACAAAACCGGTGATGGGCCGTGTCTCGTTACAATGCTAATGAAATTTCAGATTTCTGTACGCGTAATATATTCACAAAATGTGAGTGCTCTTTTGTCAAGCGGTTGACAACTCGCGACAAGTTTGATTACCCCTGATCACGCGTGAATTATTCGTGATTATTCCGCGGCAAGATCAGGATCGAATTTCAAGATATCGATCAGCCAGGCGAGTAAACTTTCTTCTCAACGTCAACGATTAACAACAATATAACGATATATAACTGTCTATTGTAATATCTTCTCACGTACAGACATACGTGTAACAAATTCAATCACTCTGCGCAAAGATGGACGTTGAATTTCAATATATATATATATCGAAGTTCAGTCGGTTAACCCTGTCCTAGTTTGTAAAACTAGCGATTTCTTCAATCACGGCATCACGGCCGTTGTCGTGATGGAAACCGCGATACGTGGTACGTCCGAAATTTATTTCGAAAAATTATTCACGTAATCGTTCATCCAAATTTACGATGTCACTCCGAGTGCGTACACTTATTCCATTTGGCAGCACTCTCGCTCGAAACTGCTTTCGTTTTATTGCGTCTACATTCCCAAAACGCTGGTATTTTTCTATTTGGCGGGGGAGGGGAGGAATAAAAAGAAGTCACACGGGACGGATGATGAAGGATTGTAATGTTGAATCGCGCCGAAAGCTCTCGAACGCGCGGGGAGGCAGAGGCACTGTCACGGCAGAGGACTCTTTTCAAAGTTGTGAAACCTCGCTCGACACGCACGATTACGTACGCCAAATCAAACACACCGAGATAATATTGTGCGTTGGCTGTAGCGCCTCTCACCACCAAAGAGAACGACAATGTAAAGCAAGAAACCGAGAACAGTTGCAGCACAGAGTTCCTTTTCCACCTTGGAATCGTAAATGTTTGGTGAACAATCGCGCGTGGTAATTTTTATAAATAAATTCGGGCGTATGTACGCGTGGCCACCACCTTCCACGTGATCGATCGTTTCCGTCGGGCGGACAGGAAGAAAGAGAGAGAGAGAGAGAGAGAGAGAGAGAAAGAGAAAGAGAGAAAGAAAGCGGTGAGCGGCGAGGCAAAAAGGTAAACGAGCGTAAATTATTGTTTTAATTTTGGTTGTTGGCGCGAGCGTCGGGCGACTCTCGGGGGAAAAAGCTCGGCCCACCTCCCGACTTTTGCGGCCGCTCCACGGACACCGAGACGATCGTAAAGCATCCTTAATTCGTTAGAGCGAGCGAGCGATGCTTAATTTCCTGCGAAAGTGACTCCTCGCGTTCTCTCTGTCCTTCTCTATCCTTCTCTTACTCCCCCCCCTCTCTCTCTCTCTCTCTCTCTCTCTCACTGTTCTCGCTTTCTCCGGAGTTGCGCCTCTTTCGCACGGAAATAACGAGGTAATCGTTTCTCGCGCCGTCAGGCACGCGTTAATTAACGCGTCCGTCGTTTCGACGGTTCGCGTTTCTCTCTCGTTCCTTCGTTCCTCTCTTCTTTTCTTTTTTCTCCTCCAAGGAGAGGGCGGGCCGAAGGCTAGTTTCAGACGGTGGCAAGCATTCGCGGCACACGGTGTTACGGTTTGAGAGTTTAAGAGCCCGTTTCACGTGTCGATACGCGTCGCGATCGTAACACGCGTATGTAACGCGCGTTCGATAACGAGGCGCTCGCGAGAGCGGAGTGCGGCAAATTCATATTTTTACGGGCAACGGGACACCTTTGGACGCGAAACAAAAAGACACGTTTTATTAGTAATAATATATGTATCATCGTTACTGTAATATGGAATTTGAGGATTCGATTGAAAAATTTCACCGCACATTTATATTTTTACACAACTAAACAAAAGTTTTATTAATCACTCGACTCGACTTTTTATCTATTTTATTCTGATTAAAAATCGCTCGTTCTATTAATAAGATCTCTCGCTTTGATACGATTCAATTGAATTTCACTTTGCTCTTATTAAAGAGTTATAAAAGGTGTTCCGTACCTTTTATACGCCGCGTTTCACGTAGTATTTTGACATGGAAATCTGTTTGCTTGTTAATAATATCTTTTCTATCAATAACGACAGGTAACGAACAGCTATTCTGGAAAAATCGATGAGGTCAAAGCTTCGCGTATTCGGTTTGTAGATGAAAGAATCACTAAAAAAAGAAAAGAGAGAAGGAAAGAAAAGTGAGCAGGAAGTATTGAGTTCATCTGGTAAATATTATAAGAGGGCAGAGAGGGCGTCCTTTCATGGGCTATTTCGAGCAACTTCGCGGCGATTTTAGTAAATTCTTTAATAATTATCGAGAGGCTCATATACAGCGCTACGTGCACGTTCGCTGTTCCATTAACGTCGGAAATCTTTCGATGGAATTGTTTTCTTAATCCGTCTTTTAATTCGGAGATTAAAGAACCCGGGGATAAAGAGTTTGGTCGAATAACGGAATATTTCTACAAAGTTTGACAATCACAGACCGTCCGTTTCGTTATTACGTATAATATTACCGTTTAAAAAGCAATTTAATCCTGTCATAGAATTTTATTATATCCCGCTATATAATCACGGATAAAGGATAAAATTACTGCAGTTCGATTTATCGGTAATCTTGTAATTAAAGCACACGAGAGTGAGTCAATAATTATTCGCGTTTTGCAGTTACGGGGACATCGTCCCCGAATGGAAAATAGACAACTTGTAATAATATCATTTCTCAATACACGGCCCTCACGTTTTTTCAACGAGCGGCTGTTACGACGCGAGTCGTCGCGTGTATCGTCGAGCTTGTATCTCGATATTATCCGAAGCTTATCTCTCCATTTGAAATTTTTCTCCTCGATAATTCGAGAGAGACTAGACTGTCCAGGATAACTTGAAAAAAGAAGCTGATGCCATCCGGCAACGAGGAAATTTCGATAACGAAACTTCGTTTTCGTAAATTTGCTCGTGAATTTATTTTTTTCTCCGTTCGATTATCGTGTGCTGAAACAATCGTACTAGGGAAATTAAAACGTTCGAGGTGGGGAAAGATCTTCTAACGTGGAGATTTCGTTCCTTCAGGCGAGCAGAGAAAGAAATATACGATTCAATGAAATCTGAATTCAAACGTATTCCTGGCATGGTAACGTGAAACCAACAGCTGTTCGTCAGGTTAAATATCCAGCAGACGAGAATCTAAATAACTCTTTTATGCTGACAATTGTTTGGAACTCGACACATGAACACGCGTGCGAAACTAGCCTGAAAGAGACAATTTTCGGGCTGGTAATGGTAAGAGAAGGGAAATGCTTACCGAAAACTTCCGTCGTGCGCGTCTGGAGGAGTGGCTCGTCCGGGTTGGAATCCAATTCCACTCTCGCCTCGCATCTTCGACAAAATTTATAGAGACGCATTAATCGTCGAGGGGAGGTAGGGGGGTGGGTGGCGGGTTGACGATGATGGCGATGCCAGTGATGGTAAAGTGACGGTGATGATATGACGGTCGATATGGTGGTGAGTGTTGGTGAAGTGGCGATGGTGGTGATGATGATGATGGTTTGGGAAGGAGTATGTCCAGGACGGAATTACCTGACGTTTATTTTGTCGCCGGCGATGTGATCCGGTTCCAATTGCAGTCGTAAACTGGATATCACCGAGTAGAGTCCGTGCTGCTCGAACACCATTTCCGTGTCTGGTTTCACCTGAAACGACAAGGCACGTGTTCCTCTAGTTCTATTCAGCGAGAGATCGTAACGACTCCAACCGAGCTGTATCTTCCTTTTTTCTCTTTCTCTCTCTCTCTCTCTCTCTCTCTCTTTCTCCTACCGTTTGCACAGTTTCGAGTTATCGCGACGGAAAGTCGCGTCGGAAATAAGCGACAACAACAGCGATTTAACCCTTTCACTTTGTCCAGCGACTCCTTTTCGTCGTTGGCGCGTTTTCAATTTACTCATACATACACATCCCTAAATTCAAGACATCGCGCATTTAAACAAAATGACGAAGTAAAGAGGAATTTACAATCCTCGGAAATGAAACAAATTTACTTTAACAATAATTTTGCGACAATTAAGCGATAATTAAGCTAGTCGAGAAAGATCGAAACAACGAAATGTGAAACGCAAAAAGAAAAAATAAAAAAAAAATCGTGAATAGAGTTCTTTAACACGTTCGCGGACAATAAAATTTTTTATCGAGCTGCAAAGAAAGACAGGTGATTTATTTTCAAACTAACCGTGATATCCAAATTTTTATCAGTCACAATTTTGTCCAAGTGCTTAGGTTTTAATAGATATAACGAATGCTACACCATTCACGTCCGCGAACCTGTTAAATTTACCTGACAACTTGTTATCGCTCGTGTGACTTTCTCGGGGCGAGTGATCTTAGGAACCAAGAGTAGAGTTTAGCAGGAGCGAAAGAATTAACGCGATGATTAGATTGGTAGCGGAAGTCGAGAAGGCGGTACGCGTCATCGCGGTTTCCTCCAAGTGAGAGGGAAACGAGACTCGCAGCCGCAGGCCAGTCGGGCAAAGATCCTCGCCTTCCTCTCGCGGAATGAAACGCGTGTATGGCGTGCGGTTATATACGTACGAACGTTTGTCGAGCGAATTTGCTCTTGTTCCACGTTTCCGCGCGCAAACTCCTAAGAGTTTCACGACGTATATACGGCGACGAAACCGACTATCCTCGCCGATGCTCTCCGTTTTATCTAAACTACCTTAGCGTAGGTTTTCATCCGCCTCGTCTGTGAATCCGTTCGGCGAAAGGAGAAGCGGCATAAAGACCGAGAGATAAACGAAGCTTGAAATTAAATCATTTTTAAGCCGTGTTCTCCTCAGCTCGCCTCTCTACCTATCTCTTTGATCCTGCCTCCCCCCGTCCTATTTTTGTTCTTCGTTACTAGCTTCGGCCGATCTCTCCACTTCTCGTCTCTTCAAACGTTCTCCTTTCTCGTTCTCGTTCTTCGGCCGATCGAACGTGGTACCCCCTTTTTCTCGCAGATGTACGAACGTCGATCGCGAGCAGAAAGGAAGACGCGGGGAAAGAGTGACGGACGTTTCGAGCTCGCGGTGGAACGACTGGCACGGATCACCGTTAAAAAAAATTCCTGATACGCGATGAATCGCGCGAGCGAATCTATTTACCAGTCGGACAAGTCTCCGTTCGTCAAAACATCTCCACGCGGATCGCAACGTTGAAGACTCGAAAACCAATGAACGAGGAATCGAATCACGATTCGAGGAGTTTCCCAACTTTTTCGCCGTCACGTATGCATATATATTCGAAGTGCTTCGTCTCTTGCTCAGGCGCGGCGTTACAGAGGATTCTTTGCCCGGCCGCTCGAAGCCGGGTAATTGAAAGAGAATCGAAGATTAAGTGCAGCCGGGGGGGGGGGGGCGAAAGCACCGCGCCGAGCCGAGCCGAGTCGAGCGGTGCCGCGTCGCGGAAAGTCGATGGGCCGAGACCACTCGCGGCCATCCCCGTCGGGCTTTGTCGCCCAATCTTTCGAGAGTCGTCACTGGCGGCAGGGAACGGTTTTCGAAACGATATTACACTCGCGTTAAGTGGCGCGCTAAACTCGCTCAACTTCTAATGGACATCGTCGAGAAGGTTGGCACAAGTTTTCGTCGAGACTCGACGACGACGACGACGACGATGAACGACGCGAAGACGAAGAGGAGAAACTTTTCGAGCCGCTGGTGGCGGCACGATTCGCTGCGAAGCCCTAAAGGGCCACCCGACGTTCATCCACGTAATCTTTAAACGCGTACACTTGCGAGCCCCGTGTCTACTCGCTTCAACTGCCTCCGCTTTGCGGATTATATTTAAACCCTTCGAGTGACGAGTGCCGCGAGATCTTGCGACCTGTCTCTCTCTTTTGAGAGACAGGGGGGAGGGGTGGCAAAGAAAGGAGCACCGGTATCTCTTCCTGTTTCCTTTAACTGCGACTTAATAAGGGGAAGGAGAACAATGCGGACGGGTGGACAGGTTTTTATTTGACGACTTGACGAAGGCCTCCTATCCTCGGCGCAAGGTATTATTATTTAAAAATAGGAGCATGTTCACCCGTTGTTTGCGGACTTTTATTCATTCACGGTGATTTCACATTCCACGGGGATTCGGTTCGTTGAAGCCAACGAGTTTGTTGAATAAATTTCCGCTTAGGCTCGCTTTCAAAAATCGCGTGAAATAATTGCATAAAAGTCCGCAACCTACTTGTAGGAAATCCCATCTTTCTCTCTGTAATACTCCAGTACCAGTAGTACTTCTCTCTAGTATTCTCTGTCTCTTTTTTCTCTCTCTGATTACTCTCTAACTTTTCCTCTTTCTCTTCCAAGGGAGAGAGAGAGAGAGAGATAGAGAGACCACTGCGGGCGATCGAAACGCGGAATTCGATCGCGGCTGCCCCTTTGTTCGACTCGACTTCCACGACTTTTCTCGCAGACAAATTAGATTCCTTTGGTCTACGTGAGGCGGATTAATTAGCAGTTAACCGAGTTGCCCGAATTTCGTTGTTCCGCCCTGCATCTCACCTCCCTTCCACTTCGCGTCGTTTGTTTCTTTCGAGCAATCTCTCTCTCTCTCTCTCTTTCTCTGTCTATTTCTCGAATCTTTCTCCTCGTTTCTTCGAGCTCGGTAAAAGAGTGAAATAGAAGGAGAGAGAGAGAGAGAGAGAGAGAAAAGAGTTGAAAAGTCGCGAGGGTAGACAGGAGTGGTTGTAGGAAGCGATGGTTGGCAGTGGCGCGTTGATGCAACGAGACGGATGTAGGAGTCGACTGGCGCCCTACTATAACGCGCGTTCTCCCGCAGCTTTCGGTAGCGCTCGTTAATTGGAGCTTTGGCTCATCAAGCATCGTCGTCGTTGCTGGTATCGTTGCCTCTGCCATCGTCGCTCTTAACCGCCTACACACACTCTCTCTCTCTCTCTCTCTCTCTCACATACATACACACACACACACACTCTCTCTCTCAACGTCTCTTCCTCCTCTCTTCCGTTTAACGATCCCTAGGTCCTGCTCGTCGTCACGGTTCGCCTGCCTGCATGCTTTCGGCTCTCCTCTAAAGTCTATCTATAACTTTCGACCATGTTGAGCTACATACATATATATCTATGTGTATGTGTGTGTGTGTACGTATACAGGGTGTCAAGGAAAATGGGTGGCCAAACTTTTGCTACGGTATTTCACTGTCTCCGAGGAGGGGAAAAGGTCAGGGCAGACGGTGCCCCGGGAACTCTTCCCTTCCGAGACGCAGGATGAGTCGGTAAGAATTTACAATAGATAATTATACGATATGGATGACTACTTCAAACGAATCCAAAGTAATTTCCTTGTACAGAAGTATACAGTGACGTTCATTTACATTTTTTATAATTTGAGTTCGATAACGTTCCTCAAGCGCTGAAGGCTTCGTTTGTTACCAAGAAGTAATAGCACTTTATTTTAATACTTGACATTTGATTAAAAAATCAATAATACGAAAGATAAAATATAATTGAAACGTCTCCATCCATTATGATTCCTTTCATACACGTCGGTACCTTTTGATAAATAGAAGCTTCCAATTTCTTTCGTAGAATAAATGGACTTAAAAATGCGTACAGCGGCTCACGAGAATTCAAATAAATATCCAAATAGCTAATTTGCCGAAGAAATTGAAACGCACAAGTGTCGCAAGTGTCGTAAACTACAAAAGTGTAAAACACAAAAAAGATGTTCAATTGTACCCATCTTACCAAGTCAATTCGTTTAAAGTATTTCTTCGATATAGTCGAATTGTTATTTTAGATAACGATTCTCACCGAGTCACCCTGTACGTATGTACGCGTATGCATAATTCTCGGCGTGTCTCGACGAAGACGCGGAAGCTGGCACGACGATTTTCTCAAAGTAGCGCGCGTTGAACCACCGACACGCGGCGGCGTCTTCTCTCACCTGCTCCCCATTGATGAACCATTTGAGGATCGCGGCTGGATGAGACTTGCCGCTGGTGCAGTTCAGCCCAAGGACGTCGCCGGTCGCGTAGACCTTCTCCTCGCCGGTTATCGACGGCCCGTCTTGCGGCAGAACTGCAATCACATCGACAACGTTTACGCGCGATCGCTCCCTTTTTCGCTCTGTTATCTATCCACGCTTCCAGCTGCTCTCTCTCTCTCTCTCTCTCTCTTTCTTTCTCTCTGTCACCGTCTCCGGTGGCTTTTTAATAAAAAGCTCCTTTTGTAACGCGATTTACGCCAACGACGATAAGGGTCCCTCCTCGTTAACGACGAAAACGAGGGAGAGAGAAAGCGAGAGAAAGATGAAATTCAAACGACGTTAAACGTTTCCCTACGGCTCATCCTACCACCAGGAAGGATGAATTCATTCTCTGTACTGCAAGGTACAGTGTTTGATAAGGGTTGTCTGGCTGTAACTTGGATCGTTCTTTTTTTTCTTTTTACATCGTACCCGGTAAACGACTGGTCGCACTGAAGTCGAGCTTCAATCGGTATTTTCCTTTCGGTTGATAAATAATTGACAGGGGGCGAAATTACTCGGCTGAAACTCTACGATTTTATCGGATATCACAGTCTACCGAAATAAACTCTGCCGAACCGTTTCACCGGCGGCGAAGTTTCATTGCCAAAAATAAATAAGCTCTTCCTCTAAAAATAATGGTGTCGATGCATTTCGTTGTCGTCCCGAAATTTTTACGACGTGACCTGCTTCGGGATCGAGCCGCGTCGATCAACCGCGAGAAAATTGGAGTACAGTGGAAGGTGATAATATTAAAGGTGGGTTATACTCGAACATTCCGGGAATATGAGAATCTCTTGGAAAATAAGGTGGATCAAGTTAATTTACGACTGGGCCATTTAGGGACAAGACGTTAAGGGTCGCAGACAGTGCGCACAACGATATCACAGATAGAACTGTGCCTCTCTCGTCCCTCGGAGACATTTAAATATAGAAAGAGAATAATTGTGCATAAGATTGTCAAATAAATGTAGAAAAAAGCTGGACGATCGTGTTCGTAATATTTGTAACATTTCCAAATGTTACCTCGGTCGTATTTAAAAGTCTGAGAAGCTGGAATATCCGACGTCCAGTATTTAATATGAAATATCCGGCAAAGGAGAAATCCGGCATTCAAAAATTCGGCGTACGCCTCGTTGGAAAAGGAATATACTATTGAATCGAATCTGATTCAGCCACCGAGCGTGCGTTCCGAGATTTAATAGCGAAATCAGTTTCTCTGTCCAGCTTTCAGCTTCCCCCCTTTTCACAAAAATACGAAATTTGTATAAACATCCGCGATCCATCAGATCGACTTTGTGTTTTATAGTGCGCCGTCTCTTTTGTCATTCCACGGTCAACGTATCGCAGTGAATCCTCCGCTGTGAATAATCAACATACCCAAGCACGAATCATTCGCGAACTCGGAAAAACAGTCGACACTCGCCACTGCGTTCCGCGGAATCGATCGAATCGCTGCTATCTCTCTCCGATCCTCAACTGGTTCGCGAAGACTGAAGATTTAATCTGGACCGGGTCCGGAGAGTTCGTTCCTCCTTCGATAAGCTTCCGAAGGTGTTACGACACCCCGCTTAGAATATTCGACGAAGCCGGATTGATCCTTTCGCGCGGCGAGCTACACGATTCGGCTTACAACGGGACGGGCCGCGTCGTTCTCTCTCGATCGAGGCAAGACTTTACCCGGTCGTTTTCTCAACTCCCCTCTCACTCTAGCCTCGGCTGGATATACATCTTGTTTGAGTATTCGACGCAGCGACGCGACGGTATAGCTCGCTGCGAGGCGAGAACGAGCGGTAAATTGAAATTTACGTGAAACGCGGAGATCTTTGGTTAAGGGACACCCAGCCCTTAGCCGGCTGGCAAAGAAGAACTCGCGGAACCGCGGCGTGCTGCGGTTTTCCTGTTCGCCTCCGTTGACACTTCACGGTTCGAAAACGAAAGGGCGCGCTGTCGTTCGTAAAAGGAAGGAAGGCACAAAGGGATTGAAAGGGAGAAATGCAACGCAGAGGAGAGGAAATTCCGTTTGCAGGAAAGGGCTTGCTCTCGCGGAAGGAAGAAATATCAACTATTATAGATAAAGAAAGTAAAGGGAAAGAGGTGCGATCGCTAAAACGCTAAAAAAACCCCGAGGAAAGGACGACTAGATAGAGAACGGAAAAGGAAAAAGGGAACAAAGAAGAGATCTAAACCCCGTCGCATTCCGAAAGAAGGTAGCAACAACTATATATAGGATAAAGAGAGGAGACAGAAAAAGAAAACGAAGAAGAGACGTGATTTAAACGACTACCTGTCGCGGAAGGAAGAAAGGAAAGAGAAACGCGAAGGAAGGAACAATCAGTCGATCTAAACGAAAGGACGCGCCGAATCTCTCTGCCTTTAGTCGCGAGAAGGAGGAGGAGGAGGAAGAAAGAAAGGAAGCAGGAGGAGAGAAGAGGAAGATCGGAGGAATGAGACGTGGAGAACAGTGTGCAGAGGGGAATTCGGCAGAGGCACGAACGATGGCCGCGGGTTATTTGCCGCGTACCAAATTTTCCACGAGGTCGGCGAAGGTACGGTAATGGCGGGTACGCGGTGGTGGGTTATCGATCGTGCAGGGGTCGGGAGAGCGCGCGGCCGGACTACGAGAAGAGGAACGGCGACGCGGAAAGGAAATTTCATCGTTTCCGAAGACGCCGCGAAGGAGGCAAAGCCTTTTCGAGACTCGGTGCGCGCGGGCCTTTAGTCTGGCGCGTCGCCGCGGCACCGAACACTGGAGGTGGAACACTGTCGACGGATGCTTTTACGGTCGAGGAGCCTCTCTCCCCTTTCGTTTACGTCGTCCTCTCGTCTCTTTCTACTTACACCCCTCGTAGCTGCGTCTCACCGACCCGCCGTGTCACGATCTCCGTAATATTCATTGGATTTTAGCCCCGTCTCTACGCGATCCTAAAATTTCACGTCTCGGAAGGGAAGTGGAGGACAAAGTTTCCTTACTTGTCGTAGGTCTAGAGCGAAAACGTGCGTCGGTTAAGGTCCAATGACAGACTGACGGACGTACGGTAAAGTACGCTCAAAAGTTTAAGCGCACCAGCGTTCTCTATCCAAGATTTTGTAACGTCGGCCGGAGATGCCAGTTGGATAGATTTTTCTAATGTTAGTACACATTTGTAACAATGATCCTCTTACGTGTACTTTAGGAAACGAACCTATCTGTCGTATAACGAATGTATAACGAAAAAGGAAAGAAACGAAGTATCGAACAAAGATATATGAAATATAAATGCAAGAAAATCTAGTACAGGCCAAATATTTATTGGAAAGACTGATAACGTTGGGAAACAAATGGTTGTGCATCCACGAGATGCTGGAAGAATTCCAACGTTATTGAAAATCGTAGAACGGAAACGAATCGCGAAACGGTGATTCCCCGGTTCTAGAAAGATCCGTCTTCTGCGTTAAAGCGGGCGAGCGTTAAAGCCGAAGCCGCACGACTGCTCCGCAACGCGTTCCCGGCGATAACGTGTCTCCTTTTTTATTTCAACATGCGGCCACGCTAACTACGCGTTGCGATCGTCCGCGCGCGACTCGGGTCCTAAAACCTGCAGAGGTTGACAGCCCATTTTTGGCTCGATCGATTCCACACCGCGCGTTCACGTTCGCCGCCGCGTTCGAAAATATTTGACCGGCTGATTCTCATCTTTCGCTGTTTGCGGAAGAAACGACAGAGAGAGAGAGAGAGAGAGAAAGAGCGGGACGAGAGAAAGCGAAGCACGGAGAACGACAGGGAAAAACAACCTGGCGTGCAAATTACAGCAGGCTCGATAACCACGATCAAAGGATTATTAATTAGCGGAGCAAAGCCGAAAACTGGATTTCAAGCGAGACAGGAAGAGAAATACAGGAGTAGGAGAGAGAGAGAGAGAGAGAGAGAGAGAGAACTGACGCAGACAGGTTCGCCCACCTACGACTTCCATGCTGGCTTCTGCGCTGACCGAGTTGAAGCTTGGTGCCTCCGCGCTCACCTCGCACTTGTACTGTCCGCTGCTGTGCAGGCTGACGTCCTGCAGCAGTACCTGCTGGTGATTGGACTGCCGGTGCTGAAACAAAATCCACGTGACGACTGTTAGAGCCTGGTGAACGCTGGTTAAACGCGCGCGAATGTTCGCCTTGACGAATTCGAGCGAACTGTGTGAGAAATAACGGGAGAATCTGCGCGAGATCAGAGTCGAAGGACTGATCGTTAACGCTCATGGTTATACATTGATGCACTCATTGTAGAAACTCTCGCCGAAAGGGAAAAATTTATTCTAAATTAGTCGACTACGATTGCTTCTGCAAATTCATATTTGAACGAAATCTCGAGAAGAAATGTGCATTTTATATATAGTTGTTGATGAAAATATTTGAACAGTCGTAGGAGCTTCGGACTGGTGTTAAATTTTTTCAATGTAATCGTTTTTCGTTAGGGTTTGATGAAATTTTAAACTAATTTATGTAGTATATATATAATATTAAATATATACAAATTATATTATTATAATATTATATATATACAAATTATTTTTATTTTATTATTTATAAAGTTCTTATAAAGTTCTTCTCCCGATGTTTGTTCGTACACGCGTTTCTTCAAATTTGTCATCGACTCGCAAACACTCGCACTCCGGCAACGAGTTATTATCGATATCGATAAATTCTCCAGGGACAAGACGACGTTGTCGAAATCGTCAGCAAAACACGGAAGCGTATTCATCGGGAAAGGGGGGAGGGAGGGGCGTAGGAGACAGGCGACAGACACGTGTGTCCGAATAACGTCGGATCAGCGTCGTACCTTTTCTACTTAACGGCGGGAACAAGTCCGCGCGCTGTACCATCTATCTCGCCGAAATAACTTTCCGTACGTAGAGCCGGCACCGGCGGCAACTATGGCAATAAATCGATATAAGCGCGTAAGCCTCTTACCCGCCTAATAGCGTAATATTCTGTCTATGAAGAATAATTTGAAACGGTGTCCGGAAAACCGGCTAGAACTAACCGGTCGACCGGAGAACTGGACGGTGAGAGAATGCCGTGTCTGTGGACGCGTCGGGGAGCCAAGTTTTTTCGGAAAAATCCGAAGCGGCTATTCGGCCGTTCGATCTACAGATTCGTTTGTATCGGTAAACGATTGGACCGAGCAGGGAGAGATTCAATCTTGCGAATGAAACGCGATGATTCAGATCCGCCTGAAGAGCGCCACTCTACGATCGACAGAGTATTCTCGGACTCGGACAGAATAGGATAATAATTATTCGAACGTTACTTGAATATTTGGAATATCCAATTTTCATACTCTAGTTGTATAGAGAATATAAAAATTGAAGAGTCCAATAAAAGAGTAAAATGAACACTTGACGCGCGTCAGTATAAAACTATTCAAAACTATCGGTACAAGACTATCCTATCGTCCGAGGGTTAAATAAATATTACAATATAACAAATGATCCTCGAAGAATCCTAGAAGGATTATCATTTTTTCAAATTAAAATAATTAAACAAAAGATACTGCCATTACTAGCTTGGTATAAAACGTTACGAATCGATCGATTAGACATCCGATCGCGATTCATCCGTGCTCTGTGTACCGCTCCGGGGGCAACGCCGACCGGAGGAGCGCCAGCACGGAAAAAGAAGACCCGCAATAGATGGAATCGCGACACTGATAATCCATTTACCCCACGTGCTGCTCTTTTTGCTTCATCGTTACGAATAATTCTCCTCTTTCGTTCGTTCTCTTACTGCACGCCTCTGTCTTCCGCCGATCCTCTGCAGAGCAATCCCCGACAGAATCTCGCGAGGTGAACGCGATTCTTGAGCTGGCGAAAACGTTCGACGCTTCGTATCTCGCGATGCGGCAAGACTCGGTTGCACGGCGCCGTAGAAGAAGTTTCGTCATCGATAAATCGATTTACGTCCGGCGGAGAAAAGTTGCGGAGAAAACAAGAGCGCGATCGAGAGTCGGGAATCGCATTACCTTCGAAGGTTATTTCGTCCGGTGAACGCGGCTCTTCGACCGAACGATTTAGGTCGCTTGAAGCACGGACGAGCAGAGGAAGATAAGGAGAGAGAGAAAGAGAGAGAGGGAGAAAGACACGCGTGTCTACAATTCAGCGAGAAACGCGGCACGTCGTTACGTCGAGCGATGCGTCCCGATGAAACGTGACTCGTTTTCTGCTGTTTCGCGCGTGCTACATTTCTTGAAAACGCGTCGTCGCGCGAGAGAAGAGGAAGATCACTGTCTGTGAAAGCTCAATTTTCTTTCTTCCTTTCTTTCTTTTTTTTTTTTTTTTTTGAAAGAAGCGAAAACGATAGAGAAAAATTCCAAGAAAGCATCCTTCCAAGACGTCGATTCCTCGTCCACGTCCGATGAGAAGTTCGTTTTCGAGACGAAACGCGATTTGCGAAGGTAACCTCGGGAACATCGTCTTCGCAGAGGAGCGAATTAACACGACTGAACTGGACACAATCGGAACGTTCTCGCCAAGTGCAATATATTACAAAAATTGGCACAAAAGTGAAAAATTACGCTACAGTCACGTCGTTGCTTATTAACACACTGTCTGTCACGGTGACTGACATTTCTATTTCCACGAATATTACTGCTATGATCCAAATAACGCGAACAAATTTTAAATTTACAACACGTGTCTGACTAACGAAGAATGCGCTTCGCTTGCTTTTAGTGGCATTTATTTTCTACGAATATTTTCGATAGAGCTCGAATTTTAAATAATACAGTGTATATGAACAACTGGCCAATGCATCTTTACTGCAACAAAATCGTTCGACGCCGCGTTATCGAGCAACGGATTATCGCGTATCGTTTGGAAAAGGCGGACATTCGAGAGAGAGAGAGAGAGAGAGAGAGAGCTGGCGCGCGACCACGGAGAGCGTTGCGTCGACGGGAAGACGATCTCTCGCAGATAAAGCGCTTAATCGCCTTCGTTGGTCGTCGATTAGTTTGCCGCGGAACCCTCGGGTACCTCGAGAGGTAATCGCAGTTTCTCCTCCACCTCTCTCTCTCTCTCTCTCTCTCTCTCTCTCCGTCTGTTCTTCCCTCCATTCCGGGATTCGGTCTCTGGCCAGACGGGCCGCCGCGGAGAGAGGGCGAGTTAAATAAATGTCAAGAACCGGGGAGGGAAAGGGGGGGAGGGGGGCGCGATTTAAAATTTTCAGATAGCGAAATTAAGTGTGGCGTTACGTAACGTTAACGGAGCAAAGGGGCGAATGAGAGGGAAAATTAAAAGTCGAGAACCCGGGAGCAAAAATATACGAGTCTGCCCGCTAAATCCACTTAATTCCTGCTACTCCAATAAGTGTCACGCGAGCGTATCCGAGTGGAGGAATGGCCCCGGGGCGGGAGAGGGTGAAAAGACACGCTCGCTTTTGTCCACGGAGAAATTTCTTTGTCGATATCGGAGAGCCATTGGACCGAGTCAGATTAATAGCCATTCTCTCTCTCTCTCTTTCTCTCCCTTGCCCTTTCTCTTTCTCTTCCTCGATCTCGGAGAAACGGAGGGCAAAAGGATGAGCCCCGGATTCGACTCACGTAATGCTCGTTACGCGTCGGCCGATATTAACGAGCGTCGAGGAAAACGGAACTTTCGTGCCTTCGAAAACGCGAATCGGAAGCGGACGTATCGTACCGAGAATAGACGAGTCTCGTGCGATCAGTTTTCTGCCTTCCACCGGCCTCCGGGACCACATCGCGCGCTATCCGTGAAAATCGATCGGTTATCCAACGGTTGTGCTCGCCTCTATCCCTTTCACTTGTCTTGTCTCTCTTCTTCTTCCTCTTCGTTTTCTTCTTCTTCTTCTTCTTATCCCGCAAGCTACTCCTCCACTTTCCGACTTTACATCCTCGTGGCTTTTCGCTTTAGTCACGGCACAGTTGGCGATCTTCTCTCCCTATTTACTTTCTTTCGATCTTTTTCTAGCCGCGTCCCGATTCGTCAAACATTTATTCGGCACGATAAACGCGACCTCGTTCCGGGGACAACGCGCGCGCATCCATACTCCGGAACGCATACATACGTCGGAACGTATCGCCAACTTTATGCTTTCCTCGCTCATCCTCGTCCCCCCCCCCCCCCCCCCCTATTCCGTCGGTTTCAACAGGCTCGATAAAATAGACGACGTCGAATGAAATTTGAAAAATGGGAAATTGAACGGAGAGTTCCTCGCGAGTTTTAAAGCCGCGCGCGCGTGCCGGTGTCTTGGCCGTGAACGGAGCCGCCAGCGGAGTCTCTTCTCAGCGCGGAACAAACGCGCGATTGCCGGTAATCGTTTGAATGCGATTTCATTTCCGGGTCCGTGAGTTTCGTTTAGAAATGTCGGCACTCGCTTTGAACCGCCGTATCTGCGAATGTCGTACGACTGACCTCGTGTACCGCTTGCCGAGTTATTCATAACCCGGCATTCCGATTCGTAGTATATCAGGCCGAATGCGTTTTTCAATTTTTTTCTCGCGTCATTTTTTTAAATTTTCCTTTACGAGCGCGTCCACTTTGTTCGTGCGAAATATCTGCGTTCTTTTTTTTTCAGCAATTTTGTAAAAATTAGAGTATAGAATAATAGCGGGGATCTCGACAATCCTGATTCACGCGATTTGATGGACTTTCCCAGTCAAAGCGATCGATACTCCGAGATTGAAAAGTTTTCAAAACGGCGAAAATGAAATTCCAGCGCGCCGAGAGCATCGTTCAAATCTACACCGTTTCTGGAATTTCGAATTTTGTAACTCTGTCCCCAATCTGTTATAATTTCTAGAAAAAGAAAACAAAGAAAAAAATGTTACAAGTTGGTACGAATTCTCGCCACTTTGCTGCACACGGCAAAGTTTCTTTAATCCCGACAACTTTCTAACAATTTTCCCGGTTCTATCTAAGTCTCTACGAGTGAACGGTGTATTCGCACGGAACGACCAGTAATGGCTGACCTTTACGTTTGTCGCGTGACACGGGACACTTCGATATCCGAATACTCTGCTAGTTTATCGTCACCTAGTTGCAGGTCGTGCTCGAACGCCGATGTTCTCCGTTTTCTCTTCGTTCTCTTTGCTGTATATTCGTTTGTGAATATCTTTATGATTGGCACAGCCGACTTCTCGCCAACGTTGCGTCTTCGCGTGTGACACTCGCGTGACGAAAGAATCGAGGAATAATTTGTCAAGAGCCTTGACTACACATTGCCATTCCTTGATCGTTCGGGGATAAACTGTTTCAAATGGCTCGCCACGTCGCCGCGCACGTGATAAAATCGTTTCATCAGGCTGACCGCTTTTTCCTCTTTCCCTCTATTTTTTTTTTTTTGTTTTTAGGCTCGCTGTTAGAAATACAGATCGTTCGGTTTTAACATTCTGTCGAAAATAATTAGTACGAATGGTTTTGTAGTATACCAAGCAAACAGAAGTAAAAGAATTTTCCAGGCTTGATGAATTGACGCATGGCGCGTGACATTTGAAAAATTGACTTTTACAGTGGCCGAAATGTATGCCAAAGGTATTGGCATTATAGCGTGTAAATATTAATTAATTAGGTCCATCACGCAGCAGTAAATTTAATACTATGGAAACGAAATGAGGATTATCGAGAAATAGATACATTAAATGAATATCCCTTTTCGTATGAGGTTCTATTTTGAATAGTTACGATAATGTTGCTATTGTAGAATTATTTAAACGTAGAAACAAGTCAGCCAGAAATTAAAATTGCGAAAAGAAAGGCTGTCAAAATGGTGAAATACAATAGTCATTTTTGTTCACACGATACCTGTCGACAAATATGCTCGCAATATGTTCTAAACTCGAAGTGGATCGATTGTTGCATTGCTAGTATAATAATTAATTTCGTTTCATAAATTTTATTTATCTGTAGGACAACAATTGATGCAAGAGCGATAAAATTCGATTCGATTTGATTAACTGCCGACTATTTTCATAATTGCACGATTCGTGGAGAAAATACGCGTGCAAAAGTTACATCTCTAGCTATGTAAATAAATCGCTCGAAGAAATAGTAGTTCAACGAATGAATTAATACGATATGCAAATGTTACAGGGGGGAAGAGAAAAATCCTAAGCGATCTGCTCCAAAAAAATTTACTATTGCCCGCCGATGACTATGACTATCGCGGTTCTTAAACTGTTAACGCGTCTGCGTTGATCTAATTTTCATTTCCTACAGTATCGAACGTACACTAGTAAACTGTACAATTTTCGCACGTATGTTCGACCTAAAAGACAGAATGTCGTGAAAAATGTCACAAATGCACAAGAATCAAAATTTGCATTCTGAAATTTTCAATTTAATTATTGAATCTTAATCGTTCAATTTAATTATTGAAAACTAAGATTAGTTTGATGGAATCGACTCTCCTCATGTTATATTCACTCGGAGTACTTCCAACTGCTTCCAAAATTGCGCTTGCACCAACTGGTATTTGACCTATATCCAAAAACAAATTGATTAAATCGAAAATGTCGCGCCAGGCTAAAATCGATTTGTGTCTCCAACCTGTATTCCTTTCCCTCATCGATCGAACCCAATTTGGCCATATTTCGCTACATCGGCGATCACCAAGCGAAAAAAAAAGGAAAAAAAAACACTCTCGAAAAAAAAAATTACAGGGAATGTTTACCTTAGATCGATCTGCCGACGCATATTCGCAAAAGGTAATTGCGCGCGTTTCAGCGCATTTCGTATAATACACAGAGAGTCTACATACGTGTACATTGTGTGTGTATATATATATATATTTATATATACATACATGCATAGATAGATACAGATATACGGTGGATATTGGAGTTGGATACACGAGATAAAAAAGTCGAGTAACTGCTCGCTCTTTCCCTCTGTACTTTTACCAGTCGCTCGTAAATGGAATTTCTGTCGATGTCGCTCGCTTTGTTAGTTCTTCGAACGTGGAATAGCCACGTACGTACGTACCATCTCCTCCTTTACCGCCTTCCTTTTCCGCGTGTAGTCTCGAGTATGTAGGTAGAGGAGACATTGCGCGTTGCGTCTGGCCGAGGATCACGGCAACAGCAGGTTAATCGCGCCCCGATCGAGCGCGAGCGGAATTGCGCCGAGTGCCGGCGTGTACGAGAGATAATCCGTAAAGTAGCAGAAGTCGCGGTGAAACGCGCGGACAGAGCGGCGGCGCGCGGCAACGCGGAGAGATCAGATGGGAAAGTCGAGACAAGAGTGGCGCGCGCGACACACAAGAGAGGTGCTTTCAACTCACGTCAACTTTAACGCCCTCCACGCGATAGCTGTGCTTCATAGGTTCCCCTCTAGGCACGTATCTGTAGAATTCCTCGTGATCCTTGTACCACGTGATGGAGTAAAGCTTGTCCGCTTCTAGGTCGTATCTGGAACAAGAGAACGAGACGGTGACGAGAGTTGGCCGGCGAGATTTTGTTTGTTCGCGGGACTTGCGACGCGAAAGATTCGCGGAGATCCCCGCTCGAATCGAGTCATTAATGCCATTTGGCATTATGCAAAGTAGCTGCCAGTTCAAAAATCTCTGGACACCTTTTATTTTTCGACCGTGCAAACTGGGTCGTCAACGTCCCCCCCCGGGTGAAATTTCACTTGCCAACATTTTTCCAAGGCAAATTTCTCATTCTTCTCTGAGAAACGTTTCGATTCGAAAACTGATTGCATCGCGACATGGCAATGGCTTCATTAAGTAATTGAAAAATTTTTTTTCATGTTTTCCTCGGTAGCTTGGGAGAGCAAAGAAATCAGTTTCTTTCCTTTCCTTTGCTTCCGTGTTTATTCCAAACTAGTAACATTCGGTAAACATCAATAAAACATTCAATACTCTTGCTCAGAAATCTTAAAACACTTTTTATAATTGGTAAATAATAAAATTTTTTTAAACTACACAATTGTTAATGTGTTACTACAGATTCTTTCTTCTTCTTGTATAAAGCATTCTCTAATATAACAGTTATGCTAGATACCGTAACTTAACTTGATTAAAACTATATTTCGAATGTATATCGAGTCGATTTTTTTTTCTAAAGCCATTTTCTAAAATCAAATCATCCATCATCATCACCGTCAAACCATCGTTTGTCAGAGATTTCTATTTAAATTAACACGACAATAACGTGGGACTCAATTGTGGCTCGTTCGTCTCTCTGTTTCGTCAAATTTATTATGCACTAATTGTTGATAAGATTCATTTGTTTGTAAAACTTTTGTCGCTCGTGTGCGTGTGGCGCGCTTGGATCGAGAACAAAGAGGCTTGTTCGTCTCTCAATTTGGTCGAGTGATTGTACATTATTACGTTACAAATTGCACATCAACGTTTGTTTAACATGATAAATGGTATGAATATGAGCATAAATTTCGGCCGTTGTATGAAATAGACCAAATGCGTTCGTTCGGTCCAAACGCAACAAACGTACGAATTCCGCGTTATTGTCAGAATTTTACAATTTTCAGCATTCAATTCAACACCAATAAGAATTATATTTGCCGATGAAATATTTGCAACGTTGTTACGTGCCTCGCGTGGTTTCTTATCTGGGTCATCGAGCATGCCTCCAACGAGTCAAAATTTAATTCCATCGCTTTTTACACATCACTTCAATGCCCTAAAAGTCCGAATTCAATTATATAAATGGAGTACTATTACACGCGGGATACAAAGGGTAGGGGGCAGAAAGTACAATAGAAAAAATTATTTTTCAAAGTGAAACAACAATCGTCACACTATACGATAAAATTCCCTGTCGTGCGAAAGTTAATGCGCAACTACGATTGTTTTGATTCAAAAATGCACACGCGAGTGAACGAAGCCTGCAACGAAGTTTGGAAACGTAAGCGTAGACTCCTGCTTGAAACGTGATGGCTGGCATTCGTCGAAACAACGTTAACTCGTAAAAACAAAAAAAAACAAAAAAAAAAACAAAAAAGAATTTCACGTAATTCTTGTTTACTCTTGCTCTTTAAGCAATGAGAACGCAACGTTCCCCCCTCGTTATATGTAAGGAATAACTTGAAACGAAAAGACAGGCAGAAGTAAAGTCTAACTACTGTCAGAATCGCTCTTGAAGTTATAATAAGTTTCGCCAACATCGCTTTTTGAATATCTACCGGCAGTTCCCTTGCGTCGGTTGAATTTTCTTCAATCTCCTCAAACTTCAGCGATCTCTCTATTCGTAAATATCCGTCTCGAGAAGCGGACAATCTCCGTTTCACTTTCGTCGTGACAGCTCTCGCGTTACGTGTTAATTCTCCCGGAACCTCTCGTCTTTCTCGAGAGATCAAAAAAATTCCATCACTCGCGATTCATTCAGAGAAAAAAATCTTTCAACTTCCACGTTCACGCGCGCAGTTGCGAATTGTCCAAATATTTGCAAGCTCGGCGGAATCTTCTCGCGTTCATGTAATTATACACGTCATTACATTCCATCCATTTATTCCCACCGAAAGTAAAAAATGCGCGCGTATAGCGCCGTCCATTAAATAAATAGATAAATATTTATATTCCGTTTCCTCTTTCCTTCCTCTCACCTCGCTGTTCTCTGTCCTCTCTTCGTTAAATATCGATTAGCCGAGACGTACGAAACGAAAGCAGATGAAACGACAGTCGTGACGCGCACGACGAACCGCGGAATCGTTTCTCGATTAGTCGCACGGTAGAGACCGTTTTTTCCCCTCTCTCCGAGCCTCTCCTGATGGCTGGGGATCGCGCGAGTAATGGAAACTGTTACCGATTTCCGCCAACGTATTTGAAGTATCGAGCGCGTATTTCGCGTATTCTTTGCTTTACATATCGGAGATTTTACCTTCGTTTATCCGATATTCCGTTATGGAATCGTCTCTCGTTCTGTTTCGTCATCTGTCCGGTTGCTCGCGCGCATTCAGGTCGTAATTCGCACGTTCCGCGTTTTCGGAAATCGTCCCGTGATCGTTTGCCCGCTTGCTCGTGGAAGAAGCAACAGGAAAAGGAGGAGGAGACGCGCGCTGTAGAGTAGGTGACACACACCGAGGGGTTGGGAACGAGGGGATAAAAAGCGATCCCAGTTCTCACGCAGGATAAACGAGGGACAACGAGATTCTTTTTCTCTATTTCTCTCTTGGAGCTTTCCCCCTTCCCTTTCTTCTTCTTCTTCTTCTTGTTAGACGACATCCAATCTGTAAACTTGACGCCAACGGTGATGGAGAATTATCCTCGCCCGTGACAGGAAAAAATTTTTACCGGTCGCGCGTTCGTTTAGTTCGATCGAGTACGTTTCCGTCGCAGTTTGGTGTTGGGACGTCCGTAGCAGTTGGTAACAGACTGTTTTAAAATTCGTGCGTTTGTAGGAAGATCGACATAAAAAGTATACAGAGCGTTCATCGTAATTAATACACAAGAAAATGAATTTCTATGTTCCATCTGTTTTTCAAACGTATTATTCCTAATATAGAATTAAAATTGAATAAACATTTAATCTTATAATAAATAGCACAGAAATTATTCTATATATTATATTAATATTATTGTAAATTCATGGATAAATTAATCACAACGTAGATGATACAAAAAAATATAAATATAGGTCTACAACAAAATATTTTATTTAACCTTAAATAAAATATCTCTTTGAAAATTAATTTTAATATGTCACTAAAAGAAATGAACCTTTAAATGATAATTTATTTGGACCTTTGCGATATTGTAGACAACTTAAAATTTTTCGTTCAATTAACGTTAAAAAAGCAACTCTTAATATTACTTATATTAACATTAATATAATATAATTTGAAACTAAAATTATTACTTATTATAATTTATATAATTTAATTTAAATTCTAAATTTAAAACACAGATGGCTGTATTGGTCAAGATTTGAAAGTGCGATTAACCCTTTCGTAAATTGCACTACTAATGCTTTCGCGGATGCAATTTAACGTTAGAACCACTGGAGGACGACTCAAGTACAAATTTCCACGTGAATACTCCATTAAACCCAATTAGGAATACAAATAGGAATTGATACTATGTTAAACGTCAATGATGATCCTGGCACGACATTGGCAAAGAATTTTCTCTCGATCCGCGCAATGTATTCACTTTTTTTTTTAATCCAACCTTTTTGCAAACTGACGATAGCGACTCGAAAGTCCATTAATTATATCTGTGTAGAAGAGAACAAGTTAAACGAGGCAGTAGTTGCGCGAGGTATTGCAGTCGTGTTCAGTCAGGTATGCACCCGAACGTGATTACAATGATGCTCGGGCACGAAGGAACAAGCGAACGTGGGCCACTGTCGCGTGACAAGCTTGCAACGTTAGGGAACAACAATTACGGTAATTGATCAACATCTGCGATCCATGCGAATCGCATCAATTTGCTAATCGAGTTTTTTCCTCTCGTTCATCGTTCTTTCTGCTGGGAATAAAAGAAAAAAAAAAGAAGAAAAGAAAGAAAGAGAAAGAAAGAAGAAAGAAAGAGAAGAGAGAAGAATTCACCGGAGGATTCCTCGTTCACCCTCGGGAAAAAAAAACCTCCAAAAATTTTTTAGTTCGAATAATTCCACAGAAACTGAACGTCCGGAGAATTATTATTCTTTCGATGATAGTAATGTTAGATTATCGCGAACGAAACGAATTGTTTGTACAATCTCTAGTTTCCCGTCGGTCTGTAGCTTCTTCAAGAACAAATATTGTGATTCGTTGCATGATCGATACGTAATTGTCGAGATACAACATAGTCGAGGTATTTAGGCGATCTTTATCGATCGATTTGATTAACTTCATTATTATAGTGAACACAATACGTCATTCTGTATTTATTACCAGGCAAGTGCAAATACGAGATTATAAATACAGAAATAAACGACTCGGACGTTATTAATTAATTAATTTAAGAATAAACTCCGTTCATTGAATCGCGCGATTGACAGCGAGGAAATACCTGTCTCTCCGCAATATATCTATTCGCGATCCTTCGGAAAACCAGGAAATCTTTTAGCCCGGGATAATTTGACGGAAACGAACGTCCGGAGAATTCCGCAAAGCAAACAGAGGGTTTCTCTCCCTCTTCTTCTTCTCTTCATTTAGTTGGTTTTCTTCGTCGAGGAACAAAATCGGTCCGTGTCCAGTGCTTTCTCTCTCTTTCTCCTCTTTTCCGCCGTAATTGTCGTTCGCCAGCGCCAATACCATTATGCCCCGCTATCGGGATCGTCGATGAGATCGCGAGGCGCAACAGGCTATCCCAGGTGGTGCGCGGCTGAGAGAGCGGCGATAATTAATATTCGTAAAGTAATTAAACTAGCACGGTCGCGTTCGAGTTGGCGACGATGTCTGGAACTACCGAGCGGTTGCGAGAGCGGCTTTGCTTCTCGAATTCACTGCCACAACCACTGCG